GGGCACGCCACAGCTTTTTCAGAGGAAGTCCATCTCTGGGCTGAGGCTGTGAGGGTCCAGGTGCACGGACAGAGCCGATGCCACCTCGCGGTCCAGGTCTGCGCACTGGGACTCCAGCTGGACGGGGGGGGGGGGGGGGGGAGAGACCCATCAGCAGAGAGATGACACGGAAGACAGAGAGTAGAGTGAATGCTGTCAGCAGAAGATCCTAAAAAAAGAGGCATGCGGGTGTTGGTTACCTGTCTGAGTCGGCTGGAGGACAGAGCGGTGGGAGGCGTCTGCGGAATCACTCTCAGGAGAAACTGCTTGGCATGGCTCAGAATCCGGAAAGGCTCCATCTGACAAAAACAAATTTGAATGGTTTGAATTATGCCACGCTGAAATAAACCACATCATCTGCGGCTCGGTCACCTGATCGGGTTGGCCAGCCGGCGTGAGCGCGTCTCCTTCCAGGAAGAGCTGCAGCAGAGCGACGTAGCAGAGGACGGAGGTGTGGAGGAAGCCCGGACAACACGCCGCTCTCCGCAGCAGCTCGGCACTCTGCTGGAGCAGCAGGCTAAACGCACACATTAAGAACTGCTGTAACAGTCTAACCTCTACAGGTCGTATCTAGAGTCTAAAAGTGACAACATGATGGTAAACAAAGAACTAACCTGTAGAAGGCCCACGGCATCAGTCGGTTCAGCTCATCTGACGTCACCATGGCGATCGGCTGGTAAACGCCTCGTTCTTGAGTTTTAGAAAGAAAACAAACGGCTGTTAGATTTAATGTTGAGCCTGCAGAGTGGACCGAGACGTGGTTTTTGAGAAGATTAAACAATGTACCGTTTGGTTGGAAGACGAGCAGCCAGTCTGCCGAGTCCACTAACGCGAGCAGAAGGTCGCTGCAGAGATCTGTGTCTGTCTGGAGGCTCCTCTCCTGCAGACGGAACATTACACACAGAGACTGTAGTAGAAGCAAAAGAGGCAGCTGGTGTGCTTAGAGGCTTTACCGCTAGATGGGGCTATATGGGAGATGTTTTGGGCAAATCATTTGGGAAAATGTTACTTGTGTACTTGGCAAACGCATGTCTTGAGGTCCTTTGTGTCGCACAGTTTCGGGGCTTTGCTTGAAGCTGAAACTTAGTAAACGTGAGGTGAAGTTTGTTCCTCAGGGAGTTTTTATGCAGCTGAAATGTACAGAACCTTTGCATTATCTTAAAGGGCCGGCGTGTAGCATTTAGGGGATTTATTGGCAGGACCTCTCCGCTAGATGGCGTCTAATTCGTCACGCTGGTAGATATGGTCTGGCCCTTTAAAGGAATAGTTCAACATTTTGGGAAATATGCTTTTGTGCTTTATGACTGAGTGTTAGATGAGAAGATCAATATCACACTCATGTCTGTAATGTTACACCTCTGAAGTTCACAAATGATTACGTTATAACTAAGCTACCTGTCTACACCTGAACACAACCTGCCTGCTGGTGGATATTATCTGGGTTAGTTATTGGTAGTGGTGAATTACCTGTGGATACAGGAGGGATGACAGGTGGTCCTTAACACACAGGAAGAGCAGAAGAACAAGCACCTGGACAAAGAAATGAAGCAGGTAAACATATTTTTTATCCATGTTTGGAGATTATGTAATAAAGAACAAACTCATGATTACTTATGGCATACAGTTTACCCACATGATATCAGAAACCGCCTCATATGAACGTCTGATATACAGAACAAATGGGGATAATGGACACCAATACAGAAATCTGGGATGCATTTCTAACAGATGTGTAATGTGTAAATGTATATATCATTACTTCAGTTCTTTCTTTGGGTTTCATTGGTGCCCGCTGTTTATTTCAACTGCTGTTTGCCGTTTTTAGTCTTTAATTATTTGTTTATTATTTTCAAATGAGTTTTTATGTGATTTCAATAATACATGATATAATTTTTATACATACATATATATATATATACATACACACATATACATACATATACATACACACACACACATACATATACATACACACATATACATATACATACACACATACATACATATACATACACACACATACATACATATACATACACACACATACATACACACACATATACATACATATACATACATATACAGTTGTGTGAAAAAGTGTTTGCCCCCTTCCTGATTTCTTATTTTTTTGCATGTTTGTCACACTTAAATGTTTCAGATCATCAAACAAATTTAAATATTAGACAAAGATAACACAAGTAAACGCAAAATGCAGTTTTTAAATGAAGGTTTTTATTATTAAGGGGGGGAAAAAATGCAAACCTACATGGCCCTGTGTGAAAAAGTGATTGCCCCCCCCCTGTT